TATTTTAGTAGAAGAAATATACAATAAATGTGTATGTGAAATATAATTACATAACCTATTATCGATTCTCATGAACAGAAAGAAGATTCGTTGGATATATCAAGTTTATTTGTTGCTTTTACGGTTTATGACTGAAGATAGTCGCAATATTAAACGCGGTCTAATGAGCTTAGGATTCTTTATGGTAAGTATGCTTATGATTTACAATCATTATACAAACAAATAATATACATATATTTATTTAGATAACATCGTGTACTTTGGCAATTATGTATTCTGGTATTAGTGGACTCACTCAGACCTCAGTACAAGATATTGGTGGCTCAATATTCATGCTTAGTACAGAAATGATATTTACTTTCTCATATGGTGTGACATACGTTTTTCCTGCCGCTTTACCTATAATGCGACGAGAAGTTGGTGAAGGCATATATAGTACATCAGCCTATTATATGGCAGTGGTGTTATCATTCATACCGATGGCTTTCTTCAAAAGTTTTCTTTTCTTCTCGGTCGTCTATGGTGCTGTCTATTATGCGCGTGGTTTTTTGCTATTTTTAAATATGGGTTTGATATTGAGTCTTGCAGCTATCGCTGCTACTGGTTATGGTTTATTTTTGTCCAGTTTTTTCGAAACTGATACTATGGCTTCAGAGTGTGCTGCACCATTCGATTTGATCTTCTTAATATTTGGTGGTGCATATTATAATGTGGACTCTATACCGATAATTAAATATTTATCACTGTTTTTCTACTCTAATGAAGCCTTAATGTATAAGTTTTGGATAGATGTTGATGAAATTGGTGCGTTTTTCTTTAATAAAAATTTTCTTTAATGTTTTTTCTTATTAATTCTACATACGTTTACAGATTGTCCGCAAAACTTGGAGCATCCGTGCGTGAAAAATGGTTATGAAGTGCTGCAACGTGGTTCCTACAGAACTGCGGATTATACTTTTTGGTTGGATTGCGTTGGTCTTATAAGTGTAGCAGTTGTGTTCAATATTTTAGCATTCCTTTTTATACGAAAGTACGTCAGACGTAGTGGTTACTATTAAGAGTTTGCTTAGTATAAGTCGTAGTGAATATTTTTAATTAATTATTAATTATTAATAATAATATTTAAATAGTAACTAAGTTTATAATGCAATAAATTGGCGATTTTGTTATTTGAAGTAAATTGTTCTTTAAATTCTGTAACAAACTAAAGTGAAAACATTCATATTCTGTGACGTAAGTATCTTTGCTCTCTTACTCTTTTCAACTATTCAATAGTCATCTCGGTTCTAGTTTAAAACATGAAACTTTGTGATTTTGTTAGTTATAATATAAAATTATGCATTTACAATTTGGATTCCAGAGCAGCACTTACAAAAGTTAAAGTTGAAAATTGTACCTTAGTTTCCGCAGGGAACTTTGCTTGTTTGTGAAGTTATTCCTGCCTGGTTGGAGTTAGGCACTGCCTGCTTGTTTTAATTTAGTTACATTCGTAATGTTAACTAGTATTTCATATCAGCACAACTACAACGTCAAGTAAATATGTAATTCAGGCAAAAGTTCAGCTCTTCATTTTAGCTTCTTTGTAGTTTGAATTGTAAAATTTCCAGAACTCTATGTACAAAATAATTTCTGAGACTGTCTGCAAAGTTTTGAGCTGTTCATTTATAAATTAAAAATAAAAAACAAAATTTGTGTCTTTTTGCCTTCAACTTCCTATTGACTTTATTTGAATTTTAACTAGCATCCAAAAGTTTATTAATATTAAAAAGTATTGAAATACATAAGCATCAGAGCTGCTAAGATTGAAAATGTGAAACAAAATCAAAGATCAACGTAGTCTTTTAATGATAATGATTTTATTGATCAATTAAAAATTCTCGATTGTGGCAGTTTTTGATAAATAATAATTTTTAAAAAAAGTCAAAACATAATTATCAATCGTTGGACATAAGTCTAATAGGTTGTTCCCTAGTCTTAGTATGTGGAAAGTCAATCTACTCATATCAGATTGATTTAAATATTGAATAAAGTATTTGTGTTGCTGTAAAGCTAGACTTTCTTTGTATAGGGACAAAGAAGCTTTATTAAAATTTAGAGGGGTTTTTGAATAGCAAAGAAAGAAATAAAGGACAAACACAAAAATTTATTTTAATTTTATTGAAGTTTGGCTGACCATACAACGCTGTTTCGAGTATTGCCAAGTACTCTTCATCAGTGGTCTTTGGAATAATCGAATTTTTATTTAATTAGTTTATAGTCCGTATATAATTTTGTTTGGACTGCAAGTGCCAGGCTTAGAACTCGTGCCTGTCAAATTAGAAGCGATGACTAATCGTGTTTATCCACAAGAAGCCAAGGCTGCACAAACTTTCAATGCTCAAGTTCCAGGTTTTATTGTCACTTATTTTTATTTAATTAGTGACACCAACCAAATAAATATATATATATATTTATATATTTATATATATTTAAATATATATATATTTATTATGGTAAGGTATTCTTCTTCAACAGAACAAAGTTGAGGTTGCTGGTGGAATATTTAACGGGTCACCATAGACTGCGTTATCGATACCATATAGACTGCGATAGATTGTCGACTCTGCTTAGAAGCAGACGAGATTTCCAGTCACATTTTCTGTGACTGCGTTATCGCTACCATATGGACTGCAATAGATTGTCGACTCTGCGACTGCCCAGCCTTGATCTGGGTCAGAAGAACTACTTTTTCCTACTGAGATTAGGAGGTCCTCAATGGCCGACATTCTGGTTTGCATTCGGAAGGCGGAATGTCTTCTGTTTAGTCAACCATGGTCGCACTGCTCTGCTCCGTTAGGAGCTGGGACCCTGTTTATTCCAATTCCTAGATATATTAATATATGGTCTTAAAACACAACAAACAGAGAAGCCAAAAGCACAATAAGATACGAATCTTCACAAATTCTTGTAACGATGCCTTACACTACTAAAAGACATTTATAGAATCTGAGTTTCAAAATAGCACATATGACCATATAATAGTATATTACATGTAGAAATATGTACTATACTGTATATACCATATCATATGTATAATTTTCCATAGAAGACTAACACCTAATATAAATTGCAGAACCAACTGTAATGAAGATTAATATTCTTATTATATTATCGGCAATATAGCCGACTTTGTTAGTTATAAAATAAACGTTATTGGGCTAAAATTTAAAAAATATAAAATGGAATTTACGTCGAATTCAATTCATAAATATTAAAAAGTTATTTTTCTTTAAATTCACTTATTTCAATGTCATTAAATCGGGATATCAAAAACAGTTTTTGTTGTTATAAACATACTCTTCATGTCCTTTTTTCCTCACATTCACTTTCAGTGACCGTAGTCCTTTTATAGATCAAGAATAATTAATCATTTTTATTAAAAACTCGTTTATGCTGAAAAGGACTTTGGTTATCGCAAGTAATCGTAAAGTTAGAAATCAAAAAATCATCTTCGAAAAAAATTAAAATTTGTGTTTATTTGGAACATGATTAAAACGAGTAAACATCATTAATTATTTCAGGGCCGAATATGCCGAATCATCTTCTAACCAAAATATTATAAAAATAATAGATACATATTAGCTGCAACAATACTGAACAATACATATTAAAATTTATATACGATTACAGAATTTAAACTACATCCATATATAATATATATAACATAAACAAATCAATGTTGATTGCGTTTGTAGTACAGCCATGGCTTTTAGGAATAAAAAGATACGAAGTGTGTGAGTTATCAGTTATTAATATATAAAACCAAACTTTTTTTATACACGTTGTATCGTAATATTAAATTTTTTACATTATAAAATATACATACATATATCATAAGGGATATCGCTAGTTTACTGCTAATAAGCAAGAACTTAGACCAAGAATTAATCGAAATATTAAGCGGAGAACCAGTTTAAACTGACCCAATTGGAATAAAATATGCTTAAATTATATGTATAGAAGAAGTAGGGCCTGTCTCTATACTGATAGAAGCAACTGAAGCATATTGTGTAATATGAATAAAGTAATTAAATATAACAAAAGCAATAACTTAAGCAGTTAGTGTACACTAAATACGACGTCACTATCTTCTTCTTAAAAGTTTATAGCATCTATAAATGCAGTTGACAGAAAGCCTGTTACCCGTGAAACACTTCCATAGATAATGAAAACAAAATTTTTCAAAGAATGAAAATAGTTTTATAAATAGAATAATATAATAGGTAAAAGGACATCCAACAATATTCGTAAAATAATGACTGCAATTTTATAAATGGAGATATAATATGTTAGTTTAAAGAAAATTCAACTGGTATGATCTTTATGGCAGTAAATGGTCTATGTGTGTTATCAAGGCCAGATCGATCTGGATATTTTACATTTTGTGACTAACTTTCTCATATTATAAACTAGCTTCAGAAAGTAAATATAAGTGCTTCTTTTAACAGTGTCCGGTGCAATACACGTCGTTACCTCTAGGGTACCGTATACAGTAAATGGTATATGTGTGTCATTAAGCTCAGATCGATCTGGATATTTTAGCTTTTGTTACTGATTTTACCTATTATAAGCTAGCTTAAAAAAATAAATATAAGTGCTTCTATTAACGGTGTCTAGAGAAATATGGTCCGGCACCTCTAGGGTACCGTATATGGTATCTCAATGAGGCAGTAAATGGTCTATGTGTATCATTTTACTTTTTGTGACTAACTTTCCCAAATTATAAAATAGTTACAGGAAGTACATATATGTAAGTGCTTCTTTTACCGGTGTCTGATGAAATATACGCTAGTACTTCTGGGGAGACATCTATAGAAGTTCCAAAGCTAGTAAATTCGCTGAAATGTTTCTATTATCCTATAAATCCATTTTTTGCATGTATTTTAATTAAATAAATTACTTAATTTTTTATTCGACATATGAGAGTATAATTACACATGAGGTTAATATATAGCTTTGGACAAGTCATATAACAAAATGTACATATGTCTTCACCCTACTAAATAAAATTAGTATCAACAACAAAACATACTCATAAGCCGGTAAAATAACTTAAAATAATATATCAAAAAAAAAATGTATTATATAAAAAACCGACGTACTAACAATTTTAGTGACTCACTTCCACAATAGACACACTCACGCATTGGTTAATTTGCTCGTTCGTTCGCCTAACGTCATTTGCTCCAGTATGCAATATGCAACGCGACAAATGCAATAAGCAAATGGAGCACGTGTTCGCTTTCAGAAATTTGCAGCTACTCACTCCCAATCTGTATCTGTTGGATTTGCAACTGCAAATTAAACAGTCTGTGTCACATACTTTGGTTGTTCGTGTAGGAGGGAGGTAGGAGGTGGGAGACGCATAACTGATAATGCTACTTAAATAAGCAACAATACAAAATTAAAACTAGTAAAAAATATTAAAATTAATATGCAAAAAAATGTGTTAATTTTTAGCGTTCAATCATAAACCACTCCTCTACTCCTATCGCGCGACTATCGGGGTCTCTCGACCGAATTTCGCGAATTTTTGTGTGACTAATATAAATATTTTGCTATTACTTTTTAGTTGCTCTATTTTTCGTAGTAAACATTTGTCCATTTGGTTTTGAATTTTTTAATATTGTATTATTGTATCTTATGGTAGTTTCATTATTGGGTGGCAATGACTTAATCACAGCTTCAGGCAAAGTCACAGCGCCAACCTTAAACCATTTGATTTGCGACTTGTTTTAAAGTTTTATAGTTTCTACCGCGCTGCAAATGCGCTTAATGTATTTAATTTTAATTTTTAATTTTTTCTAGCTCGATGCACAATAAATCACAATTAGATTTTATTATAATTTTGAAAATAGTTGATTCGTAAGTAGTTTATTTGGCACATTGGATTAAAATCAGTTCGCATTTGACGTCTTTTCTATGCTTGATTGGGAATTATCAAATGAACACTTCATTGATTTGTTGGCAAATTGGCTTTGTTGAAACATTGTTTGAATGCATATTTCTTAAAAATGTAAGAGTAGAACTT